ACATGACGAAGTGCACACGCGCGCGTCGTCGCGCGCGCATGCCGAAATCCTTCAAAAACCTTCGGTGCCAGAAGGATTTCGCAATCGAGTTTCCAAAAAACTGACAAAAACACATGGTTTCGCAACACCGAATTGCTAAACAAGCTTCCGCGCGAGCTCTTACGAAATCTTACGAAAGCCATAGGTTTGTCAAGATTTTCACAAAATGCTACAAAACGGGCTTCGCGCGCGCGCATGTCGAAATCTGTCGAACGCCCTTGCGCGTGTGCCGTCGGAAGAATCCCCTGCAAAAAACGAGACGAAGTGCAGACGCGCGCGTCGTCGCGCGCCTATGCCGAAACCTTCAAAACCCATCGGTTTCGGAAGGACTTCAAAATCGTGCGTCCAGGAAACCTACAAAAACCCAGGATTTCGCAACACGGATGTTCAACAAAAGCGTGCGCGCGCGCTCTTGCGTCGTCGTCGTCGTCGTCGTCGTCGCCGTCCTCCCTCCTCCCGCGTCGTCGTCGTCGTCGCCTACGTCGTCCTCTGTCTTTCCTCGTGTTCGTCGTCGTCGTCCTCTTTGGCGTCGTGGTCGTTTCCGTCGTCGTTGTCGCCGTGGTCGTCCTTCCTCCTCCTCCCTCGTCGTCGTCGTCGTCCGTCGTCGGCGTCTCGTCGTCGTCCCTCCTATTTCGTCGCCGTCGTCGTCGTCGTCGTCGTTGTCGTCGTCGTCGTCTTCCCTCCTCCCTCGTCGTTGCCGTCGTCGGCGTCGCCGTCCTTCCTCCTTCTTCGTCGTTCGCGTCGTCGCCGTCCTCCCTCCTCCCTCGTCGTTGTCGTCGTTGTCGCCGTCGTCGTCCTCCCTCCTTCCTCGTTGTCTTCGTTGGCGACGTCGTCGTCGTCTTCGTCGTCGTCGTCGGCGTCGGCGTCGTTGTCGTCTTCGTCGTCGTCGACGTCGGCGTCGTCGTCGTCGCCGCCGTCGTCGTCGGCGTCGTCGTCGTCGGCGTCGTTGACGTCGTCGTCGTCGGTGTCGTCGGTATCGTCGTCGTCGGCGTCGTCATCGTCGTCGTCGTTGTCATCGTCGTCGTCGTCGGCGTCGGTGTCGTCGTCGTCGTCGTCGTCGGTGTCGTCGTCGTCGTCGTTGTCGGCGTCGAAGTCGTTGGAGACGTCGTCGGTGTGGTCGTAGTCGTTGTCGGCGGCGTCGTCATCGTCGTTGTCGCTGTCGTCGTCGGCGTCGCTGTTGTTGCCAAGTGCCATGTGGTACCCACTGTCACGGTCTTAAGAGATTTTGCAAACCAAGTTGCGGGTGGGTGGGTGGGATGTTTGCGCAAGCAGTTGAGTGGACAACTCACTGCGAACAGAAATTGTTGCACCACTTAGATTGTACCACCCAGATGTCACTGCATACATTGCTAAAGGGCTGCAGCAAATTGACTGCACATCATTGGTTGCACCACATACGTTGCACCACAAAAAATGCACAACACAAGTCGCAATACATAGGTTGCAAAATCACAGATCGCATCGCGTATACTTCACCATCTAGATCGCACAGCAAAGATTGCACCACAAAGATCGCACCACATGGATCGCCCCACATATATCGAAACACGAGTAGTGCACCATCAAAATTGCATCACATAGGTTGCACCACCTGGACTGCACAACATGGGTCGCACAACAGATATGGTAGAACAAATATTGTACCGCATATGTTGCACAACCCAAATCATACCGCACAACATAGATTGCACAACATAGACTGAACAAAAACGATCGGGCCACATATATTCTCCTGTCGAAAAAACAATCGGATCTACCCCCCTCACCCCACTTCCCTTTTCGAATTACAATGTACAAACAATCCTACCCCATCATCCATCCAAAAAATGACTTCGTACCATCCCAAGCAGGCCAATATCGCCCTCCCCCTATCATCATCCGGAAAAAAATAAAACGAAATGCACACGCGCGCGGAGTCACGCGCGCATGCCGACATCCTTCAAAATCCTCACGTTCCGGAAAAACATCAAATTCGACTGTCCCGAGAAAACATTAAACACAAATGGTTCCGCAACAGGTTCAAACAAATGATTACATTATTATGTTGCTGCTTGCTTCGAACGATCCCCTCAGAAACTTTCGGCGTTTGATCCCGAAGGCGTTCGCGCTCATTGAGACGATGTGCGCGGGGCGCGGTGGTCTCGGCCAGTGCGACGGTCGGGCCATGTCGCAAGTTACCCTTCTCCTGAAATCCAACGGCCCCGAAATCCCTGACGGAGAAACCGACACAACTTCTGGGGCGAAAGACGAACCGTTCTGACACAGTTCTGTGTGACCAATTCTGTCATGGTTTATGGTGCTATGCTATGCTGTTTCGCTTTCCTATAGCATCATATGCTGCGCCATGTCATGTTATGCATTGCCACGGTATTGAATGATATGTGCTGTGATGCTGTGTCATGTTGTGGCTTGTTCTGTCATGTTATGTGGCGTGATGCTCTGTGACGCCATGTCATGGTAT